CTACCAAGATTGGAGAATCCTGATGTCAAGGGGCCTAAAGTTTAGAATTAAAACAAATAGCTTATGGCAGATACTGAGGGTTCAATACTACAGAACCCCTAGATAAGTATAAAAAGTGAAGGGGGGAATTTAAAAAAGGAAATTAGGCAAGCTAAGACTATGCATGAGAAAGCAGTGGTATATAGAGTAAAGGGAACACTGAGTTTTATTTTAAATATATAGAAAACAAGAGAAAAATTAGGGAAGGATTAGAGCCTACTAGAGACTATAGAGGTAACACGTGTGTGTGGACCCAGAAGGAATGGCACAGTCCTCAATGAATACTCCGTATTTGTTTTTTCACAACGAAAAAGGATGATGCAGAAGGTGGAGGGCTGTGAGGTATCAGAAGAAACTAACATAGAGAGAAAGGCATAATGGGTTTAGCTGCTTGAAAAGTGGATAAACCCACAGGATCAGATGAGATGCAGGTCATGGTTCTTTAGGGAGGCAAGGGAAAAGATATCAAGGGCCTGCCAATAGTTTACAGATCTGTTCTGGCCAAAGAGGAGGTGCCAGAAGGACTACCAACTTTGTTACATTATTAAAAAGGAGAAAGGAATAAACCCGAAAATTATAGGACATCCAGTCTAACCTCAGTTTTGGGGAGGTTGTTAGAAAGAATTCTGAAGGACAGAATATATTTGTTCTTGAAAAGACATGGATTAATCCAGGATAAGTCATCTTGGAATTGTTAAGAAAAAGTCATGTTTGAAAAATTTGGTCAAGATTTTAGAGGAGGCAACCAGGAGTGTTGATGAGATTAATGCATTTGATATGGTCTACACAGACTTTTTCAAGGCTTTTGATAAGGACCCTTATAGCAGCCTCATCTAGAAAGTAAGAGTCCATCGGATCCATGGCATAGTGGCATGTTGGATTCAAAATTGACTGAGAGATAGGACATGGAGAGCAATGATAAAGGGATGTTTCTGTTTTTGAAAGTTTGTTTTCAGCGGGATACCACAGGATTCGGTGATGCAGCCTTTGCTGTTTGTGGTGTATGTCAATAATTTGGATTTAAATGTAAAGGGTACAATCAAGAAGTTTGCAGATGGCCTGAAAATTGTTAGGGTGGTAAATAATGAGAAGAATAGCTGTAAACTGCAAGAGGATATTAATAGATTGGTCAGATGTAATCAGCAATGCCAAATATAATTCAATCTAGTAAAAATTGATATAATGCACTTAGGGATAGCAAACAAGGCAAGGAATTATGCTATGGTAGGACTGAGGAAAGTAATGATCACAGGGATCTTGGTATGCATATCCACAGATCCCTGAAGATAGCATGGGATGTAGATAAGATAGTTAAGGAGGCATATGGAGTACTTGCCTTTTTTTTAGTAAAGGCATAGAATAGAAGAGCAGGTACATTATTCTGTCACTGTTCAAAACGCTGGTTAGGCCACAACTGGAGTCCTGTATTTAGTTCTGGCCACCATCTTACAGGAAAGATATAATTGCACTGGAGAGGGTACAGAGGTGATTTACGAGGATGCTGCCTGGGCTGGAGAGTCTGAGTGATGAGGAAGGATTGGACAGGCTAGGGATGTTTTCCTTGGAGCACCAACGGTTGACAGGGCAACAGGGGTGGAAGATTATAAGGGTAATGGATAGGAAGGCACTTTTTCTAATAGTAGAGGGGTCAGTAACCAGGGAATATAGATTTAGGGGAAGAGGCTGAAGGTTAAGAGGAGAGTTTAGAAATTTTTTTCACTCAGTGGATGGTGGGAGTCTGGAACTTGCTGCTTGAAAGGATGTTTGAATCAGAAACATTTAAACCATTAAAACATGTTTCCATAGCTTCCATAGCTATGGACTAATGGAAAATGGGATTAGCATACTGAGATCTTTGTTGACTGGTATGAATATGATGGGCTGAAAGGTCTCCTTTTATGCCGAATACATCCATCAGTCAATGAATATGCTGCTGATTGTAACTATTTGAAATATTTAATTTGCCCAATATGGACCACATTAACTAGTAAAAGTAATTCGTTTTATAGGACTACTTAGATATCATACTAAGAAAAGTGAACATTTCCATGGAATGTACATGTAGGGTGGCATAGAAAAAGTCCTGTTCATTGATTTTTTTTTTAATCTTCTTTTCTATGTAGTACCCGCTGAGCCTGAGACAGAAAGGGGGAGATCTGTTCACCAAGTCAATTTGAGATCAGTCAATGCAATGTACCAATGTAATGGTCCTGGTGATTCTCTTGTTGACTTGTTTGTCCTTTCCTACAAAGAAGTATTTCATTTCTGTTTTCTCTATGGATGCTGCCAGCATGTTTCCAGTATCTTCTCATTTTGCTTTGTTTCTGTTTTGTATTTGCCTACAGTGACCTCGGTGAGATTAGAACCCAATTACTGGATTAATCCTTAGGTACAGAATATCTTTGAATAACATTTAGTATGCTATCGTAAATCAATAAACTGCACAGCAAAATAGCTTGCAAACAGTCTGTGATGGCTACGCACTAATGAACACACTGATAGGTATCTGAAGCCTAGCATCTTAAATATTATGAGTAAGCCAAACTTCAGACTTAGCCATGCAGAAAGGTCTACTTGTCTTAAATTCTATTTGTATTAGAAAATTTAAGACACTGCTGAATTCAGTTAACCAATTCACTGAGGCATACAGACTAGAGAGCTTTGGTATTGCACTCTGATGGAATACAGGGTTTTATGATTAGGTGGTTGCCATTGCTAAGACTGTAATAGAAGGTGTTATAGATACTTGATGGTAATTGATTATCTCTTTCAGCTCATCATTTATAATACTATTTATCTCATCATCAGCCAATCCCAGTTGACCTTTACTCATATGAACTTTGGTTGAACCTGTGAATAATTATTCGAAGATGATGAATAATCACCCAGCGTTAAGTGATTATTCATAGCTGTTCCAGAAAGAATTTGGGGAGCTATCAGGCCAAGTGAGAGAGATAAATTCATACTTGACTGGGATAATAAGACATTGACAGTATATTCACAAATACTTACCAATTTGATATATTCACAGCCTTTTGAAAACTTGAATTATTTGAATGTAATGTTATTTTTGAGATAGAATTTTCAATTAACTTAATATACATAAGCACTTGCATGGGTGAAAGCAGCTAATAATATATAAGGCTAGAAACTACAGTTGGATTATTAATAAACCAATTTTTAAAACATCTGTAAGACAATTTATCTCCTTTCTATTTTAATAGACATTTCACTGTCTACTTTAATTCCCAGCCCTGAACTTTCACTTTCCTCTAATTTCTCTCCTATCTTTCCTTATGGTCTTTCCAAGTACATCTTGTCATGTAACCATTTCCTGCTTTTTTCCCATAAAACTGTCGATTACCCAACTTCTCTCTGGCCCCATACCAGCTGGTACTGTCAGTCCCAAACCTACTGTCAAAATCTACTTAAGAAAATCCACCATGGGCAAATCTGTCCAACAACAATTACTTGCATTTCTAAAATGTGTTTGAGACTGTAAAATGCCCCATCATACCTCGCAGGAGCACTCTAGCACAGTATTTGTTTAATAGGAGACCAAAAGCTTGATCGAAGAGATAGATTTCAGGCAGTGACAGTGAACGTTTTGCCTATGCTACAACACTGAAATGGCTCAGATAAGTCATAAACGATAGCTTTTGAGATGTGATCAATTTGCACTATCGTCTTTTGTTCCTTTTGACCCATCCACAGCTAGTGACAGAGATCACCACAGCATTTGTCTCTACCAGGTCTTTTCTGCTGCCCAGCTCCATTAGGCTGCCTCGTTCTGCCCTTAACCATTCAATTGCTGCCAGAGAATCGCCTATAGTGTGTTCTCTTCTTGTCCCCATACCTTCACCTCTGGATGACTTACATTTGGCTTCCTCCAATTTCTCAGCTACGTTTTAACTCCCGATCACACTATATGAAGGAGCAGGCAGATTCTATAGCACATTGCTTCTCTTGGTCTCTGTGCTTCCTTAGCATTGTAAAACCGTTCATTTGATATCTAGTCCTGGAAATGCCACTATTTCTTCAATTAAATACGGTGAAGTCTGAAGCAATTATCTTTGACCTTCTGTCACAATCTCTCACCATAAATTCCAACCATTTCTTTGCTTGATCTGGACTGTTTGTTGGCTTAGCCTCACTCTTATGCATATAAAGAATCTATATCTTTTAACCTCACCGTCACAAAGACCGTACACATCCATCTTGGTAATATTGCTCCTCCTCATGTTTACCTCAGCTTAACTGCTATTGAAATCCTTAGTTCTGCTCATCAACTTCCAACTTTGACTATTTAAATGCTACCCTGGTTAGCCTCCCAGCTTCCACACTCTTAGATGAGCTGATCAAATGCTTTGTGTTGCATATCCTAATTCACAGCAGGTCTGTGTTCACAGACTTAAACTGGCTCCCAAATCCAGCAACATTTCAATTTTGAAACTTCTCACTGTCACATTCAAATGCCTCCATGGCTTTGATCCTCTCAATATTAACATTTTCCAGTCCTACAATCCTCTAAGAAATCTGTGTTTCTCCAACCATGGAGTCCATCTACACATTTCCATTTCCTTCATTCCACCTTTGGTGGCTATGCTTTCAGCCATCTAGGCACCAAACTATTATATTTCCCCCCTCAACCTCTGTCTCTCCTCTTTTATCTCCTTTAAGACCTTCTTCAAAACTTGTCCAGTGGACCAAGCTATTAGTCACCAGTCCTAATATATCCTCACTTGGCTCAGCACCAACTTTGGTTTAGGTGCACTGGTGAGGCACTTTAGAATGCAAAACCTACTTCAAAGGCACTATATAAAAGCAAGATTTTGTCATTAACTCATTAAAATAAACAGGTTAATGCCTTAGCCAATGGAATGCCATTAAGCATTCATCTGCTAATACTGACAAAAAAAAAGGGAAATGCCCAAACCGGAAAGAATGTGCACCGTACATACCCACGAAATGGAGGAAAACCACAAAGTAGAATGTAAGTAATCACACCAGCAGCCCAGATGTCCACCTTCAGACCATAGCTTTGAAGAAAAATCCATATTAGACACATTAGAAATGTATGTGTAAAGTGTAAGCAAGCCCTGAACTCAATTTGCGTAATATGAATTACTATAAGATTCATGCATATTTATCACAGGGAAAATGCTACATTATAATTAGGAGAAACCATGCAGTATCCTAATGGTTAATGATGCCTTTGTCTCTCAATTAGGGAGCTATCACTCTAAGATAATGCTAAAGCTGTTTTGATGTCTTGGTTGGTGTTTTATTAGCCTCCAGTCAGGTAAATAGCTAGAACTATAAATAAAAGTGATATAATCCATCTCTTCAAAGAAGAATTACTGATTTGTGACTTAAAAATCATCATAATAATAAAGCAGCAAGCAGCAAAGCAATACGTTAAAGGTGCTCTCACTTCACTTCTGTGATATGAATGAACAGAAGTCAACAGATGTTTCACAAGCTATAGATGAAAAGAGCTCTGCTATGTTATCTCAAAACACAAATCTCTACTTAAATTGGCAATAAGGTTGCCACAAGAAGTGCTTGTATGTACAATAGAAATGGCTCACCATTGCAAAAGGGAATACTTTTTTGAGGTTTGATAAGGATGTTTTCAAGCTATAGCAGAGAGGCTGTTAACTTAAGTAAACTCTGACCTGAGACCTGCCACCTGGTTTTAAATAAAGAATATTCTATTTCACACACTATATTTGTTAAGCATAGAAAATTTGCCAGAAGCTTTTAAGAACATGTGCAATAACTTGAGTTGTTAGTAGGGTTGCAACAAGCACGTTTAAGTTACAAATAAATATCCCCACATATGAATTAGGTCAGCAACTGCTGATTAATATTCTAGAACAAAATTTAAAACATATTTCTGCCACCTATCTATCAAGAAAAATGTCTTCTTTTAACTAAGAGAATATCTGTTCATGCACTGTACTTTGGCATCTATTCCATCACACAGATTACAGGCCCTGTATACACATCAAAGAACTGCCACTGACACTGATACGAGTGAAATGTCCTCTATGTGCACTGTAAATTTGAAATAGAATTTTTCTGATGGCCTTAGTAGGTAAAGACAAAACCTGACATAGCATCAAAATGCTTTTACATTGTATGAGGACATCAATTAAGCAGATGGGGTTACCAATTTGTGGGTCTCCCACAGTCAACTGCAAGCTAAATGTAAATAGGCTGGGACTCACTAAGGCCACCTGACAGGAGGGCCCATTTATTAGTAGGCCTTTTGTGCTTTTGTAGTGAGTCAGCGACTTTACTTGGCTGCAGCCAGTATGTGAAGTCTGTTCAGGAACCTGGTAGCCCTGATACATTATAAGGAAACCTTGTATTAAAGCACAAGATCTAGTCTCAGTTCTTAAATCTGTACTGAGTGAGTCCATCCCATGGGAGCAACCAGAATTGACACCACCACATCTGGGCTTACGGTAGACAAAAAATCCAGGCTTGCCTGTGATGTTCTGCATGATTGCATGGCCTATCACTTATCCTTATTTAGGTTTATAGATAAAATATACATGAAATACGTAATTGAGATACCAGAGGACAGCCAGAAGAAGTGACTTCAGGAAAAAAACAAGAAAAAAACTTTGAATTCGCAAAAGAAGATCGAAATAATAATAACGAAAAAAGGGATTTGCAACACATATTAACATGGTGAGTATATCCAGTAATACGATACCCAGTTTCAGCAATTATTTCTGGAGCTACGTATGTAGGTGTTCCACAGACAGTGTATAAGGGCCCATCTACTACTGTGGCAAGGCCAAAGTCCCCTAGTTTCAGAGATTTGCTTCCATCCTGATGTTCATAAACCTGTTGTGAAGAAATGTAAAAAAAATTAGTAAATGTAACTGCTTATTGCCAAAGTAATGGCTCTCCAGTGCACATCAGTTGATAAGCACTATATTAATGGGAACATTAATTCAATGTATTGTTTAACTTGGTATGGATTCATTGTCTTTGTATTCAAGAATTTGGGTCGATAGACCAATCTGGTAATGGTAACAGTTGCCTGTAACTATGATATTTCCATGCAGAGTCTGTTGCTAGTACAAATTTACAAGGTTAAAACATGATCTAACTTCCCTAGATTTTGGATGTCAGTCCTTAACAAAATCCTACAGGAGGGGAGGTAGCTGGTGATTTAAATGGCCAGCTGCCCTCTGTAAATCACAAGTGCATGATCCAGGCTGATTCCATTCTGCCTCTTCGAAAGGGGAAGTACAATTAAATGCATTCAATGCATGCATGTAGCTAGGAGTTTCACAATTTTCCTTAATGTCTTTAGATATTTGCTTTGAGAGTTACTGCTCGGTCTTTTATTAATGTATTATTCTAAGCACAATATAATATTAGAGCTTACTCCTCTGTTCTCTGGTTCACAAGAACAACCTAATAATAACATTTAAAATGCACACTAATCAAAATTTGGTATTAAAAAAAATTGTCCAACTGTGAAACAGTAGATCCATTTTCAAGTATCATTAAATCACACTCTACTTCTAGCAACTATCTAGCTTAATTGTTCCCTGGTGTTAGAAGAAATAATAAGCATTTGTTATCCTTAACAACTAATTTGAGACATCATTACCCAATAATTAGTCACTGTTCAAAATACCACCTTGCTTTATTTCTTTCGGCCTTAAAGGAATCATCAGTTCCAAGGTTGCACATGGCTGAGCACAAAGGTCAAAGGCATAAGTTGCCAAAGCAGTACATGCTTGCAAAAATGAATTAAGAAGTGAGAAAACAGTATATTTTTGTCAATGCTTTGCATGCAGTAGACTTAAAGACATGAATTGTGGATGACTATATTGTGACTTCCCTTGAAAGAATTTTTAAATCTATCCCGTTTCCAACCTTTGACAGTAGCAACGTAACAAAAATTGGCACTTTTACAGTGCTGTTGATGCAGCAAAATACCCTGAGTTATTTCACAAAGTAGACCCCAAGAAAGGAGTTGGAATAAATACAATAGGTTACTGGAGGCCTGATTGAAGAGATGGGGACTGTCTTTTACTCTGTGCAAGTGAATGCATCTTGAGTGATTCAAAATTAGGCCCATAGTTTAGGGGAAGGGTTAAAATGTGGTTTAAAATGTGCCAATAGTGCATTAAATGCTGACCTATCAAACAATGCCCATGTTCCATGAATAAATAAAACAGCATAACCTAACATTATAAGAGGTACAAGAACCAATGCAGCATTCTTGAGATTTTTAAAAAACTAAACAAATTTATCTCCTACAATTAAAAATTCACAATAAACTGCACATCTCAAACAAAAACAATAAACACAAGCAATATGCAGGCCCTGAGTCTTATTCCCAGGTCAAGTGTGCAGAAACGGGGAGAATTTTCCAGCCCTGCAAACCTGAACTTTAAAAACAACTGCCCAATCTTCCTAATTGTGATTTGATTTGGGGGAATTGGAAGAGCTAAAGAAGATGCCTGAGGGAGAAGGAGGATTAGTAAAAAGCCTGCCCGGGGACTCTGTCACTGTCCAAAGTTTAAAAATTAAGACCAACAGATAAAACATCCCTCTTGCCCTCAACTCCCTTATTACCCACACCCCTATACAACTGAACCAATGACACCCAATGTCCCATGGCACCCCTATATCCTCCATATTAATCAATGCCACCTAATCACTCCTTGTTCTTTATAGCCCAATGCCATCTTAGTACCAACTCACACCAACCCGGATCCCTCCATTTATCATTATTTCCCCTTTCATCTACTATGCTAATACACCTAGTGTCCATCATAGGCAGAATTCAGGATCATAGATAGATAGAGTACATAGAACATTACAGCGCAGTACAGGCCCTTCAGCCCTCGATGTTGCGCCGACCTGTGAAACCAATCTGAAGCCCATCTAACCTACACTATTCCATTATCATCCATATGTTTATCCAATGACCATTTAAATGCCTTTAAAGTTGGCGAGTCTACTACTTTTGCAGGCAGGGCATTCCATGCCCTTACTACTCTCTGAGTAAAGAACCTACCTCTGACATCTGTCCTATATCTATCACCCCTCAATTTAAAGCTATGTCCCCTCATGCTAGCCATCACCATCTGAGGAAAAAGGCTCCCACTGTCCACTCTATCTAATCCTCTGATCATCTTGTATCTCTCTATTAAGTCACCTCTTAATCTTCTTCTCTCTAACAAAAACAGCCTCAAGTCCCTCAGCCTTTCCTCATAAGACCTTCTCTCCATACCAGGCAACATCCTGGTAAATCTCCTCTGCACCCTTTCCAATGCTTCCACATCCTTCCTATAATGCGGTGACCAGAACTGTACGCAATACTCCAAGTGTGGCCGCACCAGAGTTTTGTACAGCTGCAACATGGCCTCATGGCTCCGAAACTCAATCCCTCTACCAATAAAACCTAACACAACGTATGCCTTCTTAACAACCCTATCAACCTGGGTGGCAACTTTCAGTGATCTATGCACATGGACACCGAGATCTCTCTGCTCATCCACACTACCAAGAATCTTACCATTAGCCCAGTACTCTGTATTCCTGTTACTCCTTCCAAAGTGAATCACCTCACACTTTTCCGCATTAAACTCCATTTGCCATCTCTCAGCCCAGCTCTGCAGCTTATCTATGTCCCTCTGTAACCTGCAACATCCTTCCGCACTATCCACAACTCCACCGACTTTGATGTCATCTGCAAATTTACTAACCCATCCTTCTACGCTCTCATCCAGGTCATTTATAAAAATGACAAACAGCAGTGGCCCCAAAACAGATCCTTGAGGTACACCACTAGTAACTGAACTCCAGGATGAACATTTCCCATCAATCACCACCCTCTGTCTTCTTACAGCTAGCCAATTTCTAATCCAAACCGCTAAATCACCCTCAATCCCATGCCTCCGTATTTTCTGCAATAGCCTACCATGGGGAACCTTATCAAACGCTTTACTGAAATCCATATACACCACATCAACCGCTTTACCCTCATCTACCTGTTTGGTTACCTTCTCAAAGAACTCAATAAGGTTTGTGAGGCACGACCTACCCTTCACAAAACTGTGTTATTCCTTTCTAGATGATTATAAATCCCATCTCTTATAATCCTTTCCAACACTTTACCCACAACCGAAGTAAGGCTCACTAGGCTATAATTACGAGGGTTGTCTCCACTCCCCTTCTTGAACAAGGGAACAACATTTGCTAGTCTCCAGTCTTCTGGCACTATTCCTGTAGACAATGACGACATAAAGATCAAAGCCAAAGGCTCTGCAATCTCCTCTCTAGCTTCCCAGAGAATCCAAGGATAAATCCCATCCGGCCCAGGGGACTTATCTATTTTCACACCTTCCAGAATTGCTAACACCTCCTCCTTATGAACCTCAATCCCGTCTAGTCTAATAGCCTGTATCTCAGTATTCTCCTCGACAACATTGTCTTTTTCCTGTGTGAACATTGAAGAAAAATATTCATTTAGCGCCTCTCCTATCTCTTCGGATCCATGCAGAAATGAAAAAAAATTCTATTAAATAAAATATGTGTATTGCAGACATTGCTATATTGAGAAATCCACACCTATTTGTGAAGATACATTTATATATTTAAATTCTTTCACCTCAATTAATAATAATTTATACAATAAAACTTTTCATTCAAGTGTAACAAACATTGGAATTCAAATTCCCACATCAAGGGCTCAAAACCATCTGTAGCCATCAACCAAACTCAAATGAAAGGCATCCTCCAGTGATAGTGGATTCTTGAGAAATCACACATGTTCCACTATTCTAATAATGGGAATCCTCAGGTTAATTTCAACAGACAGATTGAAATAGAAACCAATCTTTTGTTTTAAAACTTTCCAGACAGTTCCTTGACTGATTGACAGTCCCAATAAATTAATGTGTTTTTTGCCCACAAGCACATCCACTATGAATAATCTCAAAGGGCACGTGGCCTGTCCAAAAGGAGCAACTCACTTCTCTCCAAGTGGGCTTTACCTTCCTCAAATGTGCTATGTGACCAGAGCCAAAGGGGTACCTTTTCCCTGCCTGCTCAAAAAATTTACAAGGTTAAAACATGACCTAACTTCCCCAGATTTTGGATGTCAGTCCTTAACAAAATCCTACAGGAGGGGAGGTAACTGGTGATTTAAATGGCCAGCTGCTCTCTGTAAATCAAAAGTTCATGATCCAGGCTGACTCCATTCTGCCCCTTTGAAAGGGGAAGTACAATTTTTGGGTGTAGGATGGAGGGTCTTCAACTATTTCCTCCACTTCAGGGAACATCTCTTACATGGCAAAAATCTGGGAAACATCTGTAGACTATTGGATGAGGTCAGCTTTGAAACCTACAAACACCTCCATCTAAAAGGACAAGGGCAGCAGGTACATGGGATCAACACCATCTGCAAGTTCTCCTCCAAGCCACTCCCATCCAGATTTGGAAATATATTGCCATTCCTTCAGAAAACCCTCCCTAACAGTTTTTTTTTACAGCACATGAACTACAACGGTTCTAGAAGTCATCTCACTACCACCATCTTCTCAAGGGCAAGTAGGCAAATACTGGCCCAGGCAGTGATGTCCTTATCCCACAATTGAATAAAACAGAAAGTAGGATATTAAGCCCAAATTTAAGCAAGTATGACTCGAAGTGCATTTTGAGTTAGCTGACAACTGAGAGCAGCAAAGTTGAATGTCTGAGATTGGGAAAGGCACTTCTGGTACTTAGGTTAAGTCCTGAAAATAAGCCTGGCAATTGAGATAATTCTGGACAGACAATTGACGCAGACACATTCTAAGGACTCATGCCTGTATGGA